ATTAATAAATTAAAAAAAAAAGGTTTACTAAAATTATCCTGTGAAGTATTTTGGTCTGGTATTTTAGGACAGTGATTCTTTTCTGTAATTTTCTCCATTTCTTCAACAGAAATGATCTTTATTTTCCCTATTCACTGAGGTCATTTTTCAAAAACTCTTTTTCTGTGATCATTTTTTCTTTTTAACCGTATTTTGTAATTCATTCACGTACACTTGAAAAATGTAGATTCATGCTTCTTTTTGTTTACTGATTTGCCCCATAGAACCAATTCTATGATTAGTTCTGATCTTTGCTTTTAATTTCATTAATTCCTTTTACCTTCTTTTGATTTCATTTTCTCTTTTAACTTCTAAAGTAAATGTGTAACTTGTTCGCTTTCACGCTTTTTTATTTAAAGCTTTTTATTTTCTCTGAACATAGTTTTTTCTGTATCAGGTATATTCATAGTGTTTTTACTATGTAGAATCCTTACTTTGTACAATTTCCATTTATATTTCTCCAGTGATCAAAGAGTTCTTTATGATTAGGGAAAAAAACCCCAAAAACCCACTTACTCCCAGGTAGTGAAGAGGACTTTAAATTTACAGCACTGTGATTCTTCTGTACTATTTCTACTTTTTAATATATATTATGCTTCATTTGGTACTATTTCTACTTTTTAAAATTTACTGAATAAATTAAATTTTATTGAATAAAATTTACTAAATTAAGTTTCTTATTGTTACTATGTTTCTAGTTCTCCTAACATCATAAAGTTTCTTCTTTCTTTATGAAATTTACTTTGTTTACCAAAACATAGTTTTCTAAAACACAGATACCCATACTGTTAAATGTCACTGTCAATTTTTCTGGGACATATCCTTGTCTCATGTAACGTTTTTCAGCCTGAATTCTACTCTGACTCATTTTAAAAGTAATACCTTAAATATCGATCTAAAAAAAACTCTTAATAGCTTTTTTGTGACTTTCACATGTATACATTTCCCTCTTTAATTTTTTAATACTTTATTTACTGCCTGTATTGAATGTTGTTGTGGTTATTTGCCGTCGAGTCACCTGCCACTCATATACGACAGCTCTGAACCCTGCTCTATCCTGAGCCAGTCCCACTAACTCCAACACACCTAATTCCATTGCCTTAGTTATTGAGTCAATCCTTGTCATCCAGGACCCTTCCAAGCATGATGTCCTTCTCCAAGGACTGGTCCCTCCTGGCCATGTCCCCAAAGTATGTGAGACTGAGCTTCAAAATCCTTGCCTCCAAGGAGCAGTTTGGTTTCACCCTATCCAAGATTCTCTTGGTGGTTTTTCCCAGCACCATAACTTAAAGACATCAATTCTTCTTCTGTCATCCTTAGTCACTGTCCAGTTTTGTGATACATAGCATGTATCTGTAAAGACCATAGCCTGGATCAAGTGCACCTTTGTCTCTAGAATGACATCATTGCTCCTCAGCACTCATGCAGGGAAAGGTCTTCACAGCAGACTTCCCAGTGGAATTTTTCTTTATATTTCCTGGCTGCTGGTTCCAAGAGTGTTGATTGTAGAGCCGTGTGTGTGTGATTAAATTTTAAAATCTTTTTCATAGGTTAGCTAAGGTCATTTATCTAAGCAAGTTGATATGATTAATAAGTGAGGTGATAGTTCTATCATATTTTGCTATACTTGGTTTTACTAGGGTTTGGGGTGTTTTTTTAGTTGTGTACTTTCTTTTGGTAAGTAAATTTATCATTTTTCTGTTATTCAAAATAATGAGTGTTTTTCTTCTAATAGTTCTTTATAGTTTAACTTTTAACTATAATTTTCTTTCATAGCCTTACTCCTTAATTTCTTTACATAGTAACTACTTACTGTGAACACTAACAAAATTAGTTTGTATCATTTTCTTACTGTCCCTCTTTCATGCACCATACAATAATAACATTATCTTTTTAAGTATTTACCTTTGTACTGTTAAATATGCTTACACTTCTACAAACTTGATATGTCAGCTTTAAACGATGTCCTTTGACTCTAGGTTACTACAGATAAGACAATCCACAAACATATTCTACCCCAACTTTGTTCCTACACTTCTCTTTATTAGCTGTATAACCAATTTCTACATAATTATGACATTTAATATTAATAATTTATTATTTCTTCCTTATCATACTTTTTGTTTTAATGACAGGTCTGAGATTAAATAAACTCAATGCTCTCCAGTAGTAATTTGGAAATTTCTCTAGTCACCTCTATAAGATGAAATTCGTCTAATTCCCTCAAGAAATTTAAGAGCATTGTTGTTGTCATGTGCCATTGAGTCATAAGTAACTCACAGAGACTCTATGTACAATATAGCTCTGAACCCTGCTCTATCCCATGCCAGCCTTACTGTCTATGACAAACCTACGACACCTTTACCCCCAGTCACTGAATCAATCCATCTCATCAAGTCTTCCTCTTGTGCTGCCCTCTACCCTTCTAAGCATGATGTCACTCTCAAAGGACTGGACCCTCCTTGCAACATGCCCAAAGTAAGTCAGACAAAGCTTTAGAATCTTTGCCTCCAAGGAGCGGCCTGGTTTCACTCTCTCTAGTATGAATCTGTTTGTTCTCCTGGCAGTCCGTGGTGTATATTCAATACTCTTCTCTAGCATCACAGCTCAAAGGCATTAATTCTCCCTCTATCACCCCTAGTCACTGCTTTCTGATGCATAGCAAGCAACTGCAAAGACTATGGCCTGGATCAGGTGCACCTTAGTCTCCATACTGACATCATTGCTCTGGAGAGGTCCCTGAGAACCGACTTACGCAATGCAATTTAGCAATATGTGTTCTTAGATGTTTAAAACAGTGTAAAGTCTTTGTATTTTAAGAACATTTTAAGGGAGATAAGGCTAAGGCAAATAAAGATAAAAATGTTTATAAAAGCCAGTAAGGAGCAACATCAAGAGTTAAACTTGGATTTAGGTCCAAAGACCAATAACCTAGCCCTTCCAATGGGTTTAGGTAATGAATTTCCAACCAACAAGAAATACATTTAGAAAAAGTAATTACTGGGAATGCATTCTCATGAATGGTGACATCTGGAGAAGAAGCACATTTTAGAAACTGTGCTAGGTTAGGGAAGACTGAGTTACCAGGTTAGAGCCTATGGTTAAAAGAATGGCTTCTGGCATCAATCCCAGATTTGCATGTTGGTTTTGCTATTTATTTGCTATGATAGGCTAGATACACTATTCAATTTCTTTGAGCTTTAGTTTCTACAGTTAAAAAGTGAATAGTTCATGAGATGCTGTATGGATTAAATGAAGTAACACGTTATAGAGGGCTAACTAGAGATCAAAAACCTCATGCTACTGGGAGGGGGGATCCAATTTTCTAAGAGCAACAAATAGGAAAATTTTCCTTTCATGAAATGACCTCTTCTTCCTTCCAACCTTCTGACTCAGGCTTTATTATATAAAGTTCCATCTCCCTTATGAAAACTGTCCTGTGAACCAATCCACTTTATCTAAACAATGTCTCAGCAATCTGTATTTGCTTGTACTGGACTTAAAATTATTTTATAAAATTTTATATTATAAAGTATCTTATTCCATCCAAATAAAATGCCAGAATTTTCACTTAGCACACATATCCTATATATTTCCAGTTGCCTCTTTTGCCAAATGTTTTACTGTCCCACTGTCTTCGTGACCTGTTATTTAGACAGAACTATCTTTTTCAATCAGATGTCACAACTATTAATATGTGGGCTATAGGGTCGCTGTAAGTTGCAGGTGACTCGACGACACATAATAACAACACTGTTTAGAACTGGATGATATATACAGAATATTTTATCTGACTGAATGTGTAAGCTTAATTTAGGGGTAAATTAATAGACTAATAAAGGATCAGCTAAAGTTTCAACTTGTTGGCAATGAGTAATGAGTAATGAACAGAAAGACCAGTTCTAGATCAAACATGTTCATTTAAAAATATACATACATTTGAAAAAAATCACAGAAAACTATTATTAGAGGGGAAAGAGTTTTATAAAATGCCTTCAGAAATGTTTCTAAAATTAAACAAAACAAAACTGGACAGACTCATGTTTATCTCTGAAAGTACACAAAGGCTACCTAACCCCATGAAATTCCCAGTTAATCTGTAACATTTACCAGAAAGGTGCAATTCACAAGAACATAAGAAAATCAAACCACTTCTAAAAATCGATTTCTTGGTCTTCACACTCAATGTATCACCAGACATAGTCTCAATTATATTTTTTTAAATTTTTTTATAGTCTCAACTATTAATCCATACTTAACACAAAGAATAATTGCTCTTCACAGTTTATTAATTTCTTTCTATTTGTATGTTGCTAGTTCCAGAAAAGAATTTGGGTTGGACTTTTTTAAGGTAACTTTAAAGTTATCCATAAAACTATGGATGTGTATAATATAAATTCACAAGTACTGAGGGACTTCAAACTGTCCCAAAGTTCCTCCAGTCTACAAGTCTCTTCCAGAGCGTAACTAAGAGGTGATGGGAAATAAGCAGCAGAGGGAGGGAAGAAGGCCGGGGCGGGGGAGCTGCTTTAACCAACTCTAGAACACTCGGTGTGTATTAAAAAGGGTATTACAATACAATGACTAGTTTTTAATTGCTGATTAAATACAATGACAGCTGCTGACAGAGAAATTAATTCCTTTTTAGTAAGAAAAGATGTTTTAGGAGGAAAGATTTGCCCCAGATCACCGCATGTGTGCAACTTCATAAAGTCAGTGGAAATGGATTTCCTGAGCTCACAAGTAAAGGCAGTGCTTTTATTATTTAACAAAAGCCGCATACTTTAACCTCTTACTATAACATTTTGCCCGCAAAATCCTCCAACACTATTTCCTTCGAAATACAAGCTGCAACTGGCGACTTCTGGCCTTAAAATAATCCGATCCTGCATAAATGACAGTAGCTTGCAGTTCAAAGCTTTAAAACAGGCAACAGCTCAAATCCAAACAAAAAATCAAAATCACACTAGAGTCAGCCAAAGTAACCCAGAGGTTTGTTTTCTTCCTCCGCCCTTGGGGACCGCACCTCTTTGTGCACAAGAGTCCGAAGGTCTCTTAATCTCAGACCCCAGGAACCTGTTTGGCTGAGACTTCCTGGCAAGACACCCCATCGTAAGCCTCTGGGAACTCCTGGGTCGCCAAGGAAACATCGGCGGACAGGCGCGATCCCCGAACCAGTGCTGACGCCAGCCGCTGTCGGACCGGGGCCCAAAGGGAGACCAGAGGCGCGCCGCCACAGGGACCGGGCCTCGGGTCGGCAGGGGCCAGAAGGGGACGAGGCTGCGGACGAGGTGTGAGCGCTCATCGGCCTCGAGGCCTAGGGCTGGGACAAGAGGCAGATTTACCTGGCGGGGACCCTCGGCGACCGGTTCTCGAGTTAGCGCGGCACCCGTCAACTGGCCCAGCACTGGCAGCTGCCCCTCCTCCCCGGCCCGGGGCCACCTCCACGTTCCGCTCCAACGTGGCAGCCGCAGCCCCGCCCGGCCGGCCAGCCGACGCTTCCGGGAGCTACGCCTCGCCCCGCCCGCTCCTTCGCGCAGCCCGCCGCTGCACTTCCGGGCGCGGCGCTGCGAGCTGGCGCGCCCTGGGGGGGGTGGGGGGGGGGTGGGATGAAGAGCCGGCACGCACGGAGGGGGCGGGGGAAGCGTCGCCCGTGGGCTGACGCCAGCCTGGGGACCAAGGGCTGCCGCGCAGGGTGGTGGCCAGAACTAGGGAGTGTCAAGGGTTTAGTGGGTGTAGCCGTCAGAAGGGCTGTGATCCACTGGAAAGCCACGTAGCAATCACCAGGACTAGAGAAGCGTCTGCAGCACCAACCTCAGACAAAACCACATAAAAATTGGGCTGCAAGGCCCTTATTCCCCTAATTGGTGACTTGGTTCTTGAAATTGCTTACTTGACTCTACCATGTTGCATTTTAAAACTTATTTAAACAATATGGTCATACTCAAAGGTTGTGATGTATGTAACCGATTTCTTCCCAGAATCCCCCACGCCCCAGAAGAGTTGCCACCCAGATCCCTGGATATCGTATGTGTTGCGGAAAACTGCCCTCTCTATATGGCATTTAAGACTGTAACCTTCAGGAAGCTGAGGCTTCTACTATGGGTTCAAATTGCCAACCTGTTAGTTATGTACGGAAGTCAAAACCGTAGCTGAGCAGGATTTTCAGAGGCAGTAAATCTCAGGAAAGTTGTCCTTTTTTTCTCCCAAGCAGCAGCTGGTGGATTCAAATCTTCAGGCTGCCAGCCTAGCTCCTTGCTAGACCACCAGAGTTCCCAACCGTCAGCAGTAGTGTTTATCAAGTACATGAAGGGAGCTGAAGTGGCTGCAGACTTAACCCAGAGGCAGATAAGTGGGGTGAGAAGCATTCTAATTCATATTCTTTCGTGTTGACCTCTATTACCACTGTCACTGGTGCCCCAAGGACTAGAGTGTTGGCCAGTTAGTATCCTTGCTAGATGCTGTTGAAAATGACTCCTAGCAATCCTATAAATCTATTTGAATCTTGTTCTATCCTGTGCCATTCCCATTTCTGATATACCTGACCCTACTGTAGCAGAAACTGCATCAATCCACCTTTTTTTGAGCGAGTAACACTGTCACTGTCATTTCACTTTTCCAAGAAGGATATCCAAGGAATTGCCTCTCCTAGCAACATGTGCTTAGGAGATGAAGCTTTGCCATCTTTGCTTCCAAGGAGTACTCTGGTTGCACCTTTTCCAAGACTATCTTTTTGGTAGTGCATGGGATATTCAGTACTGTTCTTCAAAATACTTCAAAGGCAGAAATTGTCATCCATATTGTCCAGCTCTCAAAAGCAGAGTTGGAACAAACCATGGCCTGAATCAAGCGAAACAGTCTTCAAACTGACAACTCAGTTCTTCAGTATTTTGGAGAGGTCCCCTTGCCCAAAGCATTAAATGTCCTGATCTGCTTGCTGGTACCAAGGGACTGCAGACTGATGATAAAATCACTGACAGTTTCAATCTTTATCTATCATGATGTCACCTACTGTCTGAGTGGTAAGGACCTTTATTGAAGTAGACACTGAAAAGTCTTACAAAGTACTTAACATACGAACAAGAGCAATGGTAACACAGGAAGTTCAAGCTGAATTGAAGAGATTGGCAAAAAATAAGGCCCCATGAATTGATGGAATACTGATTGATATGCTTCAGCTAACAGATGTAACTCTGTAACTGCTCAAAAATCTGTGCCAGGAAATTTAGAGAACAGCTGACTGGCCAACTGAATGGAAGAGAGCCACATATTTTTCTCATCCACAAGGAGGGCAATCCAACACAATGTGGAAATTATCAATTTATTATCACATCCAAGCAAAATATTGCTGAAGATCATCTAAAAACAGCTCAAACAGTACTTTGACAATGAACTGTCAGAAGTTCAAGCTAGGTTGGGAAGAAGTCATGGCACCAGGGATGTCACTGCTGTCAGATGGATCCTGGCTAAGAACAGAGAATACCAGAAGAATGTGTTTTATTGACTATGCACCAGAAGAAATATCTCGTTTTCTTACTTTGCAAAGGATCACAAGTGGTATCACTACCTAGAGCTTTTTCTGAATTAGCTTAGAAATTTTTACAGCAATGCAAGTAATACCAGAGGATGACTTGCTGTAATACCAGAACTTCATTCAACCCAGGTCTTTAATTCCTTAAGGCAGAGGCAAAATAAAAGTACTGATGAGACGAAATCTTTCTATAGGGTTGTAAGACTGACTTAAACAGATTGTTTAATTTCTCATGTATTCTAAACAGCCTTTTGTGTTTCTTGGGTGGCAAGACTAGTTTACCTATACAAATGCCAATATAAATCCCTGTGTGAAGTGAGACAATCATTGACAAGAGAAAATACCAAACCCATGTCCATTTCTACAGCCCCATTCCCAAAAGACCTCCTGCTATCCGGAAACATGCAGTAGCATAGAAAAAGGATTCATGAAAACGCTCAACTTTACCCCAATGACATACATACATACATACATACATATATATACACACAAAAAAATGTTTGTGATTTCAAACTATATAAATTCAAATACTGGCATCAATAAATGTTTTAATGGAATACCACCACCACCCTTTAGAGTGGGTTGGTTTTGGGTTTTTTTTTCCCAATATCCAAATCACTATACTGCAGATCTGGGAAAGCAGAGGATTTTCTCAAAAACTGAAGCCCCATCTAAGGGTGGTCATTGGTTTTTATACTTGGGTCAGTATATTTATACTATTGAGAAAATACTGCCCCCTTTATGTTTTATGTACTATCTATACCTTCTTTGGTGTGGCATGAGACCATATGGCCACTAACACCTAATTCTGTTGTGGTCATTTGCAGAGAAAACGGAAAAAATCCTTACTGATTGGGATATTTTCTACCAATATACTCAGAGGCCAAATAGGATACATTCAGTATTACAAAACTTTATTTCAAACGTTCGACATAACAGTATACAAAGGCAATATAAAAGTAAATATCAATATAATGGATTACCACAGAGAAAAATGTTTATAAACTTGATGTACACATTTGGCTAAACATGGACTTCAATTTATTTCAACTAGACAACCCTTGCTTTAACCATGCAACTGTGCAAGCTTAAACTATTTATGCATTCCTAGGGCCTTGAAAATGTGTGAAATAATTTCTCACTATTGGCTATAAATATACTGTTTATTGATATTTTGTAACCTAGTTTTATTCATTGCACTGGCAATATTAGAGACTCCGAGAGCTCCTTTCAATTTGATGTAGTTCACCAGCATCAAGTCCTTTGAGACATTTTCATCATTTAGAGTAACAATCCCTTTCTTCATCTATGTTTTCAAGTTTGGTAAATGTCTCTGGTTACCTAGCTAGATTCTCTAATGGCAATGTCAATATCTATGGTCACCTGTATTTTCTCCATTTACTTTCCATTTGAATTCTATATAGTTTTGGGCATCACTATGCAGAACAAGAATTTCCTGTACACTTTGGAATCTAGGTACAAATTTCCAACTAGCCATTTCTCCAGCTTAACATTACCAAATTTACATGTCTTCTGAAATGAAGAAATGACTTTTCACTGTTGATTGTGGGTTTTTTTTCCCCAGTCTCTGTGAAATGTTTTCTTTCGATGCAACAACCAATTACAACACTTACGCTAGAATGCTAGCCCAAACTCACTGGGATGCGATTGTGATTATATTCACTTTACCAAAAGAAATGTTCTAGTTTAATCTGAAGTCATTTTTGTCCCTGCTGCTACTCAAATGTAAAGATGTAATTTTATTTTTAAAAAATTCATAAGAAAGAAAGATAAAAAAAATTCAGACTTTCCAATTTGGTTTATCCTGTAGCATCACTTTGTCCAATTTCAGTTAGTGTTATAAAATATTTTTGCTTCTTTGCTCCTCTTTTGTCTCTGTTAATCAATTCTCTTGCTTGATTTCCCATTTATATATAATGGTGCATAGACTAATGCCTGGGAAATAATAAGGCAATCAAACTATATGCCCTATATTCTCATACTGGGTAGAGCAACTGCCAAATTATAAATTATTCAAGTGGTCAAATATTGTGATGCACAGTGATTTGTAAAGAATTAACAGCCAAGTTTATACTTTACAAACAATTCAATTAGTACCACACCAATGAAATTTTATCCATACTGTTGGTGTGATTAACTGCAGAAACAGCTATTTTGATACGTTGGAACCAAGCAGGAATTACCTGTACCCAAAGAGAAAATGTGTATTAGTTCAAAAAAGTCAATTAATACAATTTAACAACTAATAGACAAGTCTAGCCATAAATCAAATAAAAGTTGACCTTAGTTTTAAACAAAATGCTACTTTCAAAACATTAGCTTACTTGTTTTAAAAAGATAATCAAAAAAAAGACAATATAATCCAAAATTTTTCAAGTTAAGATGTGTAGACACGTTCTTTAAGAATTTAGATCTTGGTCTGCTACAACTGCAGGTACCGACTACAGTTCCCAGAGGTCTGTGGGGAAACACCATCTTTGTAAACTTGGACTTTGCC